GTAAAGTTCATAAAGGTGATCGTCTCCTTGCCGATCTGATAAGATTACCGCGTCTAATATTAATAATCCCTTGAACGCGTCGCCTTGGAACAATTTCTTATTATTTTTTCGTGAGAAACATTTTTATTGATTTGTTCCAGATACTCATTATAGGTGTAACTGAGCATGATATGAAAAATTGGAATTTCGGTATTTTGACTTAAAATGCAACTAGGTTCTTTTGATTCAAGAATAAATTAAATAAATTGACACGTAAATTTCATTTATTTTGTCACGAAAATAATATTTTCAAATATAACGACATCTTCATTAAACATTATTTGTGTAAAGAAAATTGAGTTAGTCAATACTTCATTAAATATTTAAGTATAAATGTTTTGATCATTTCTACGAACAAACAAAAGCTAACTTTCAAATGACTTTCCTAATAATGATTTAACGATTCATTGTGTGGTTAATTTCACTATAAGAAGTTGAAATTGTAGAATAAAACTATATTTATTGTAGATTTTTAAAGCTTATATTATATGAAGACATGCGATAACTTACTACAGCTAGTATATGATATAGAAAATACAAAGTATCTGCCACTTTCGTCGCAGTGCTGCGGAAACGCAGTTCATTCCGCGGTTAAAGCCATACCGTACGCTCCTTTTGGCTTAATATCGGTCGACAGTTGTTATCACGCAATAATGAGGTATTATTTTTTTTTTTAATTAACGACGTCATCTTGTATCTTAATAAATGTAGTTTCAATTGTAACTTCATTGATTTCGCATAAACAATTTTAAAAACAATTTTTTTCAAGATAAAAAGTACTAATTATATGCATTTATGGAACAGTATAAATTGTTTTGGTTAAAATTAAGAATAATATTTTATTAAAAAAAATTTCACGCAATAGCTTCATACAAGGACCTTTCCACCGTATACCTTCTACGGTAGACATAATGCATCTCCATGCATTAGGAGGCATTATGTCCGAGGGATTTTGGATATTCTGATGCCATCCGTATCAAGAAACCAAAATCCAGGTTTTACACCTAAGTTTTTTTTAAAAAAAAAAAGAATTGGCAAAAGTCAATATAAACAAGTTTGAAATTTTTTTACACAAAATCAACAAACTTACCCAATGTCAAATACATTGACACCATGATCCTCTCGATCGGAGAGGAAAAATTGAATGGCGTTCTAACAACTAAACAAAAAAAATAAATAAACCAATGTTAGATCAATCCGACGACATGATTCGAACATGAAAATAAATCCCACATACTTCCTCCATCTTCATACGATAAAGTATACCGAGTTGAACCATTAATATATCATTAAAATTAAAGGTTTCAGAATGTGAGTTGTACTTGAATTTTTTTAATTTTGAAGATTTCATTTTGTTTTATATTGGTAAAAATAGAATGATTGATATATATTGTTGATAAAATTTCTAGGGAAAAAAAAAAAAATAATAAAAAGACGGAGAAGAAAAATAAACGACCGTTTATATATTGAAATTTATTCATACGTAAGCAATCCGATTTAATGTATAAAAAAATTTCAATTAATAGTAATTACAATAACATTAATTTTTCCGATAATATAATCGGGAATAATTAAATATGGAAATTACATAATCTATATTCGTCTTCTTTATCATTGGCAACAGTAAATCCTTTCAAAGAGTTTTAATTTAGGTTCCATTAATAAACTATGCAAGATTCGATTCACATGACTATCAAAAAAAAAATCATGATATGCAAGATTACGTAAGTAGTTACATAATTCCAATTGTAATGAAATCAAATCTGTTCGAAAATTGACTTTTTTATTATAAATAATAAGTATGAATTTTATCCCTATTTACTTTGATATCTAAAGTTAGACGTACTACAAGTTTACATAAGTAATTACATAATTAACATTAATTGGTCCAGATCCGTTGAAGTGGGACTACGTACGAAGGGCGTTACTCCGACAATAATGAGGTGATTCTATGAATCATTTCGAAATTTAAATTTTTTTCGTGTTCAAAAGATAAAAAAAAAAAAAAAAAAAAAAAGGAGAAAAATCAAGACAAAGAATTTGAATGGGCTGCTAGACAATTTTTTTTTTTTCGTTTAGCTTTTTATAGTAAAATTTAAGAGATGTTTTACGTAACCGATTTATATCAATGAAATTACGTAGTTATTTGTTCTTTATACGACAGAATCACGAACACAAAAAAAAAAAAAAAAAAAGACCCATTCAAAATTAAGTTCTATTGTCCCCTTTCATTGTACATGGAAAACATTTGTCTTATTGTATACATAACATAAAATTTTTGTAAATGACAAACTTTTTACAATAAGATCGTCAATATCAAGGTAAAGAATAAGTAATGGCTTAGAAGAGATGATAATGTGTAACCCAAAAGATACCTGAGTTGCTTATCGGAGTAGAATCCCGAATCCCGAACTAGGAGTTTACGTAAACAGCACGTAGACATTTCCTTTTTCAATTCCAACCAAGAACATCTGCATTTCTATATCGATAAATAAAAAATCAATAAGAAATCAATAATTACAAAGAATTTTCGGGTTTGGATCTAAATACAATGGTTTCAGCTGATGATTTTGCAATTGGTAAGTTCACAATGAGGTCACGATCTTAATTTCTGTATAACCAAAAGACTATTTACAGAAATAACTTATAAAAGAAGTAAGGAAGTGGAATCCTTACCTTTCCCAACTTAACTCTTTTTTTTCAAAGTGGGTAATGATAATCAGTTTTTATTTAAAATTCACATCATAAATTTTCATGATCATTGGCTGAAAAATGATTTTAAACGCGACACTTGCCTTATATGTTGGTTAATAATACTTTCTAATTCAGGTTAGATCAATAAATGTAAATGAACTTTAATTTACGCTCTTTTTGGCAACAAAAAAAAAAAAAAAAAAAAATGCAACTTCACTCAACCCATTAAAAAATTTTTATATATCTTTCAAAAGTTAAAAAGTCAAATAGCAAGAATAATTTATTTGATATATTTCAAAACAAATATGGATCTCGTTAAAGGTAGATGGTATAATTTTTTTAAATTTTTTTCTGTAAAGTAAATAAAAAAAAAAAATAGACGTCGTTTGCCTCATTTTGGCGCAAAAGTTATATGGCGCGGCAACCCGTCCGGTTGTGCATCAGAAAAACTTTACTAGTTTACATGCTCTTTTTTTTTTTTTTTACAAATCTATGGAAAGATATATAACAGGTATGTAAATACATTTGATAGAAAATCAACGAATTTTGTACAAGATTTATGAAGATGGTAATTTTTCAATAATTTGATTTGTATAATTAAAATAGATTTATTAAAATTGATGATTTTAAATACAGTTTAAAGGGAAGCAAATATATGAAATTTATATGGAACGGTTTGTGATTATTCATCAAATTGTACTTTTATTTTATTAAAAAAAAAAAAAAAAGAGTTCATCTACGCGTAATCTTAGAAATTCTCTTTGCTAGATATCAATAAGGGTCAGTTAACCGCAAAACTCTCCAACGAGTTCGTCAAAATACAAAAGTTTGTTATTCAATATAATAATGAGTTAAATGTTGACAATTTTCGGATGAAATCTATCAGTTAATCCTATATTCGAATCATTTCTATGTAACCTAATATTTGACTATTAATTACCATTAATTGATTTTAAATAGGTGACAAGCGAGCTATTCATTTAAATAATATACCTGGCCATGAAAAGTTTACATCAATCCGCGCGATCTTTAATATCTTCGACTTATAATTTATCTCTTTTTTGGTAAATTTATCATGTTTTGATCTCATAACAAATAAAAATTGTCACTTTTTATAATAGTGTACGTTAATTCTTACAACTTTTACAATATTTAATTTTTGTTAATAGATAAAAAAAAGATTTTAGTAAATAAAAAAGTCCGCTTTGACGTTGAAAATAATTTTTTTTTTTAAAAAAAAAAAAAAAAGAGAGCACGTGAAAGTTATTTTAAGACAAATTAATTGACATTCCTATTTTCGATTTAATTAATATTATGGAAAAAAAAAGATATGTAAATATGATCGACGTTCACTATGCCATTAATTTGCTTGTTTTTATACTCTTACTTGCGTCAAATAAATAAAGTATATTTTTGAAATTTCTTCGATTTTTTTACTCTAGTCTATAATCCCAAGTAACACTCCAAAAAAACAGCTCAATGATTTTATTGTATTTAATAAAATCGAGGAAAAATAAAAATCATTTTTTTGCACATTTTTAGAAAAAGTTTATCATTAACAGAAACGAACCTTCGCCATAGTAACAATATTTATTTATCATATTATGGATATGCTGGTATGATATGCAAAGAACAAAATGTTTTTTTTGCATTTCTGTACGACGGAAATTGACAATTTTTTTTTGTTTTTCCAAAACACTCCTTCCTGTGTCGCGTTTGGATAAACGACGGGGGTTGACACCTTCGTATATCGCTATCACCGATACGGAACGACTATTGGTGATGACGATAAAAATCAAGTTGCCATGAACCTTTGTAATACTGAACGTTAAACGTCTCGTTGGTCGTAGATTTGGCGAACAGACATTCAATCCGATATGAAGGTAAACTCTATTGTTAATACAATTATCACACAATTTATTGCAATATTTTCATTCAATACTAACTATACATTATTATTATTTGCATTGGCCTTTCAAGGTTATCGGAAAGAGTGGAATCCAATGTATTCAGGTAGAATTCATAGGCAATAAGAAAGCTTTCCCACCTGAAGAAAATTTTCTATGATATTGATAAAGATGAAAGAAAACTGCTGAGCTTTTCTTGGTACAAAAGTTAATAATGCCATAATTACCAGCTTACTTCAATAACTCTCAACGTCAAACTAAATGATGCCAGTGAAATCGCTGGTTTTAATGTATTTCGATAATCAATGAGGCAATCACAGCGGCCATTGATTTTGGCTTTGATAAGCAAGATAATGAAGAATGAGACGTTCTTATCTAAAATTTAGGTGGGTTTCACTTTTAAAAATTGAAGAGTGAGTTTTCATAGTAAAAGCTGTTTCTGGTAACACACTTCTTGGTGGAGAAGATTTTGTCAATCGCCTTGTGAATCATTTTTGCACAAGTATTCACGCGCAATTTAGGAAAGACCTTAAAAAGAATGCAAGAGCTCTCCGTCGATTGAAAAATGCAAGTGAATGTGAAAAATCGTGACCTTTCACATCATTACACTCTTCTATTGAAATTGATTCTCTTTTCGAAAGTATCGATTTCTTAACAAGAGCATCTACAATGGAACCGATTAGCAGAGTATTCCGAAATTAAAGACAAATCCATGAAATTGTTCTAGTTGGTGGCTCAACGAGCATTCCATGATTTGGTAGATAGTATCTGAATTCTTAATACCAAAAGGATCATCCATCAATCCATAGCTGTTATTTTATCACGTGATATATTACAAAAAAGGTCATGATTTTCTATTACTTGATGTAGCTGTTGAAACTATCGGTGGTGTTAGCCTACCAAGAAATCGGAAGTGATCTCCACAAATGCTGACAATCAAATGGGAATACTTATTAAGTTTATGAAGTGAACGTTCTGATAACAACTTTCTTGAAAGATTCGAATTGATTGGAATTCGACCAGCACCAAAAGGCGTTACAAAGATTTAAATCACCTTTGATGATGATGATGAAAATAGTATCCTAAACATATGTATTAGTTATTAAACTGTAATAATTCTTGTCATTAATTATTTATTGTATTAACTTCGAATTCATTAATGGTATTGGCTGTTGATAAAGACACTGGAATATCGAGTATGACAATCATCACTTATGACAATCAAGAAATGAAGGGGCACGTAATCAAATTTTCAAATTTCATGAATATAATTTATAAGTATTATTATAATAAACTTTAGACAAAATATTTATAATAATAGTGACATTAATTGTTTTATGTTTTACAAAAAATATGTATGATCATATTCATCATTAATATTTTCTACTAACATCACAGTAATAGCTGGTGTATTGTAAGTGTTATAAATATTAAGAAACGTTTCTTTGGCATTTCGAATAAAGCTTTTTAATCTTCAAAATAGCCAAGCTTTAACCGTGGATCAAGTACAATATATTGTAATTCATTCTATTTCTTAATAAAGTAAAACGAAAAAAAAAACAGATCACCAGGTCATCCGGGTCGAGCACCCATGACCCGACAGGTTTTATTACCCGACTCGAATTAATTCTCGAATGACTCGATCGGCTCGGTGCATCAGTTATGCATAAGTAAGCATTTTTAACTTTTTTAATTATATTCTAACATCATGGTATCTCTAGTCAATAGGACGAAAAGATCTACATCCAATAGACAGAAAAACTTGAAATTGCCATTCAAGAATCGATTACATGGCTTGAAATTAACCAAGAGCGGAGAAGAAGGAATATGATTATAAACAGGAGTCACTCGAAGAAATTGTCGGCTCAATAATTAAGCAACAACGCAAGGTACTGAACAAAGCGAATATCTCTTTCCTAAAACCTATATCATAATAATTAATTTGTACGTACAATTCTGGAAAAACTTCTTCAAGTGTATAAAATCCACATGGAAGTTTTACATTTGGACCGTTCAATTTTCTGTATAAGGTCACGCAAATTACATTTTCGGTTCACGTACAATGGTTGCAATAAAAATTACAATTTTTTAAATTGCTTTAATTTTTTAACTAGTGTACCAACTAAAGTAAAATGATATATCATTTTAAAGCTAAAAAGTAGCAGATTTATCAAAAAAAAAAATTATATAAAATTTTTTTATTACTTTTTTTAAATAATCTTACTAATATATCATAATTTCAAATCTATAAAAAAAATAATTATGAATTTTTTCTACTTTTCATTCAAAAAAACTTTTTGATTTACCAAAGATTTTAAATCCATATATTTTTATTTTAAAAGATAATTTTTAATAATTATTATAAAGTAAAATTGAAAAAGTTGCACGAATTTGTCAAAAAATTCCCGTAAATTGGTGAAACGATTTGATTGGTTGGCTTATAAACGAGTGATCAATTGAGAATTCAATTTTCGGCCAGAATTAAGATTTATATGATTGTGCTAAATCTGGCCAAACTTATATTACTACCTAAGTTTATTATAACCGGTTAATTAAGATTATTAGGCCGGTTCCAACCTCTAGACTTTAATGTATCTGTTGGAAGTAAAGAGAGAAAGAAATATAAAAAACCAAGAAATGACGAGAACTAATTTGATTATAAGGTTAATACTGTTGTATTCAGTTCTTTCGTTTATGTATTTATAAACAACTAGTATTGTAAGCAGAAGTTATTAATTGAATAAAAATGACGCTAAATTTATTTAATATTATTATCAATTCGTTCAGTGTTACCTCAACGTCGGCGCTCTACACTTTCGCTTGTCAAC